GGAACGACTGGATTGGCAAAGAAGCGTTAAAAATGCCGTCGATAATCACCCTCGAGTCGCGCCGCCACCGAAGCGCACGGAGCACATCCGGAGAATCGAGGTATTTTCGAACATCCCTCTCGCGAGAAGAAGCCCTCTCGCGAGAAATAAGAAGTCGGGACCGAACATTTCCCAGGAGTCATTATCCGGTGCGGAAAGATAAGCAAACAACGATAAACGAGAATGCCGAACCTAATTATCTCGTGGCAAAATTATAGCGTCCTCGAAATTGGAAAACGAGAATATGTGTAAGAGTGTGCGAAGATATTCGATGGCAAAGGGGGAGAGTACACAGACGAAAAGCACGAAGAAAAGAGAGTTTAAGGGCGAGAGTGGGAAAGGGTGAGTAAAGAGATAGTGAAAGACAGACAGAGAGAGAGAGAGAGAGAGAGAGAGAGAGAGGGGAACGGTAAGGATTAACTGCACCGCACGACCAAATTGCCCCGGGCGTATAAATACAGGTGTACACGTGAGGGTGGATTCGCCATGGAGAATTCCCTTCCGATAATCAATTTCCACATCCAGATTTATCAGTCGCTGGATTCACCGCGGCGGATCATTCGGTCTACCAAGATTTATTGCGCGAGCGCGCGTCGTAGGACGCGCGGCTTCTCGCACGTGAAGAGGCAGGGAAGTTCCCTCGCGCGGAAAACGATCTTCCGGTTCCCCCCTCTCGATCATACCACGCGCAGTATCGCGCCAGTATATGCGGTATATTGTTATTTGTTATCGAGGCGACGAGTCGGAGAAATCGCCACGACGACCGTTTCGCGACTAAATCGCTTTTTCGGCCGCTGTTAGCGACGGTTGAATGAATTCGAGCCGGGCCCGGAACCACGGTTTGAACACGGTCGTTTCGCGGAGAATAGCTCTCCCTCGTGCAGCCTCGCCCCGTTTACATGTCAGCGTCGCGCAGAATCGACAGCAACTGAATTCAAGCGTCGCGGGTAATTCTGACCGAAAGGAACGTCAGTTCGCATTCGATGTAAGTGCGTCATCGTCGCGCATCGCCGCGAGATCGATTGCTATCTTAACGCGATATGAGAAATTGCGCGAGGAACTGCTGAGGATAATCTCGACGGGGGCGAGAATCGGGACGGGTAACCGCGCCGACTAGTCCGCACATGTCGCGAATTTTGAATAATTAAGGAAAATCGCCGGGGAAGAAGTTTCAACCAAGATCTATGCGACGCGGGCGCGCGAAATTAAAAATTTCCCCCGGCAATTTTTCACGGCAAGTTTCGAGCATCTTGCGCAGGTTGCGCAAAGGGGGCCAATGGCGAATTAGGAACTGCGCGTTGCAAAATACAACGCGAGTTGCCGCGAGCTAAAAACTTGAGACGTATGTTACGACTTACGGCGAGTTCTATATCTCGGCACTTTAAATTATCGATATGAGGAAGAAGAGAGACAGAGAGGCGGAGAGAGGGGGAGAAAAGCGGAGAGCTGTACTGCAAAACTTGGAAAGATCGATGTTGCTCCAACGGGGCGTCCGTGTACGCAAATTTCGCATATATTTTACATTTTGCACATGATTGCTCAGAATTTCTTAACACATTGCGAACCAGTCATTTTATAGCCGAGTTCAGTCGTCAGATATTCGTCCTGATTTACTAATCCTATTTAAAAAACAATAAATACTTATTCAGTGGTCACTAATGACATATTTATAAAAATTTGGAATATAAAATAAAATATGAAATACAATAAAAATATAAAATATTTTTCAAATATGAAAATATACCCTTTTTAAACTTTTTCATCCAAGCAAATGCTTATCCCAAATAAATAAAAGAATTTAGATTTAAGTAAATATGTTATTAGCACCGACTGGATAAATATTTTTTATTGTTTAGATACGTTTTCTCTAACAGTCTAGTCAGTGTAGTCTACTTTTCACGTTAAAAAAGAATACTCTGTCGTAGAATCTTTTTGTTTAGGATATGGGATTACAGAGAAAATAACATCTTGCAACTGAAGTTTCTTTTTTGGACGCGGCGGCGTTAGGATACGTTCTTTATGCTTTTAAACGAATCCTCTTAGGGTCATGTAAGAGGATTCCGCTAAAAATTAGATTATACTGTTTCGGGGGTGCAGCATGAACCGCACTGGTGAGCCACGTGACACGCGATTGCGTTAAATAGCTCGCAGTTTTTTTCCTCTTTTAAACAGCGGCAAACCCAGCCTCTCCGTCCACCCCGTTAAGCAGTTAATAGATCGCGCGCTCTCATTCG